AATATGCATCACAAACTCACAATTTTGGAGGCAGTGCATTTTGGTGCACTGCACCATTCTCGCCTCACTAGAATACAATATGGATTCCAATTGGTGCCTCATTCCTTTACCTTTCATAATTCACATATATTAGAAAAATGAATGCAACATAAACATCGTGTATATATATAAAAATAAAATAGCAAATGACAAAGGTACCTCTCAATATAATAATATTGCTTGTTTATCATGGTTTACCATTAATAATTTTATGAAAAATGTGTAAATTTGACATTTAATTTCTTACATGTATTTTTTTTGCACAATATTTAATTTAGGCAAATTTTGTTTTTGGTAAAAAAGAAGTATATTTCTATTATTATAAATTGGGCACTTGCCTTGGTTTCCGTGCAAATCATAAAACCTAAATTTGATTGTATAAAATCAACTTATTTCTTTATCATTTATTTGCATGCCTTTAAACTAGTGTATGAAATAAAAAAAGAAAAACACCATTTTTCATTTTTATCATCTAAATAGTTTCTTTTTCTTTTTCTTCTTTTCACTAGATAGGGATATTATTATCAATTTCTATGATGCTAAAACTTAATTTGACTTGTTAGAACCCAATAAATTTTGATAAAGGTGAGGTCACTGAGTAGGATTTTATTCTCTAACACAACCCCTCGTGCAAAAGTCCATCAGGCTTCAAGTGTGGGCAAGCACAAGCCCACCATACCTTGTGCTTAAATTTAATTGATTATAGATGTGGGCGACAATGATTAAACACTAGACCACTTGGTTAAACAAGTTTCGATATCATCTCAAAGGACCACTTAACCGAAAAGCTTACACTTTGATACCATCTCAATTTTTCAGGTATTTATGCATTTTTGGCAATCATAGTGGAGCTTTTATCAAAGAAATTAAAAAAAAAAAAAAGTGCCCAAATTGCGATGGGATTCTTTGCAAGAAAAAACTCTGCACATATTGTGAAAGCATCGAAATTCCATCATACATTAATATCTCCTATAAATTAAGCATAAATGCATGGGCTTAATGTGCGACTGAATGCTATATAAGCAGAGATCCGAAGCTTACCCAAACCAGCCACCTTGAATATGTATTACCCATCTAATTTAACCCGTTATATTGAGGGTCCACAAGTCTAGATAAATCCAATTTTAAATAATCTGAAAGACATGGATGATCAGAATCGGATATTCATAGGTAGGCTTTGGAATTTAGACTTTAAATTTAAAAGATTTACATGGTTTTGGTAAGTTTATATGTATATATATATATGCAATGTTAAACTTTTTTGGATTAAAATTATCCTCTATTTCTTTGTTTGATAAAGAGTATAAAAGTCATTTTATTATAACTTTTAATGGCTTCACAAATGTCCATAATTGTGTATTTAGTCCACGGTAAGTTTGAAAATAAATTTCAACTATTACTTCCCACCTCATTTAATCCCCTTTCATTAAGTCTTATATTTAAATTATTAATTCCCATTTTCTTTTATTAAATTAGATCTGTGTCAATATTTTTAATAATATAAATTCATATATTTTAAAACTAATTAAAAAACAAAACCATTTTTAATCTAAGTGGTGGCTAAGCAATTCAACCATCCAAATCAAATTGATCAACCTACAAAGTCATAGTCAGGTAATAAAAATTTTAAAATAGAAATAAATATAGAAACTTACAAAAATATAAAAAAAATAGACACATTTATGGTATTTTATTAATCAAATTAAAAATAAGTGTAAAAAAAAGAATAATTTTTATTGGTAATAAAAATGGAATACATAATTTAAAACTAACCAAAAATGAAATTATTTTACTATTTGGCAAAGATCAATAGTTCAAATTTTGGGTCAAATATGTTAACCTTTAATGTTATAAATAAATAATAAAAGTTAATAAAATATAAAAATACATAAATGAAAAAAATACATAAATTTTGCAAAAAAACATTTAGGCGCATGCATATTATCATATATTTAGTATATTAAGCAAAAAGTAAGTGTGATATATTAGAATTATTTTTATACACAAAAATACAAAAAAATTATAGAAAAATTTGAATGCATCTATAATTATATATTTACACTATTATTAAAAATATGAATAAGATTGTGGAACTTTCTTTTGACTATAACACTGATTTTTGAATTTAGTCCCTATTTAATTATGTGGTTTAAATTATAAATTAAACTACTACTTTTCACCCCATTCAATTCCCTCTATTTAAATATTGCATTTTTTGATAAATGGACAAAAAAAATACACAAAAAAGATTAAATATTACAAAAAGAAGAATATAACCAAGTAAATAGGCTTATCAATGATACTTGAAACTTCACACATATTTGGATGATGTGTTTATGTAATCAGATTTGGATTTTCAATCCACATCCGATTAATAATAAAAAACAAAAAATAAAAAATACGTAAAGTTTATAGAAAATTTTGAATGCATTGTCAATATCATTATCATCATCTAGAATTAACACGTACAAAATATGTGCACACTTAATAGTATATATATAAAGAAAGAGACTAAGAAAAGTTCTAAAGTAATTTTTGTTCCTATTAAACCAAACATAGGAAAGTCACCTATGACCAAATCAAACAACCTGACTACAAATCCACTTACCAACTAATGATCGCTAAGTTGGTAATATCTTTGACTCGTCGTAGTGGGGAATTTGGATAGAATCCTGTTGCGACTAGCTAGGGTGTTAAGGGGGAGGGGGATGGGATATACCCCCATTATGTAGTTCCATGAAGCCAAAAGTTACTTAGATTATCATAATATATTAATATACAATTAAAAATTTAGAAATCTACTTTAATCTTTATCATATATAAAATTTACTTTACATGACAAGAAAATGAAATCATGTATGCAATTTCAACTCTTCACTTGACTTGATGAGGTTAGGGATGCAAATAGATCAGATTCAAATCAAGGTATATCCAAATCTGATCCGATATTATAAACCATAGATTTGATCTGAAGATCCAATCAAACTTTACAAATATTGATTTGAATCCAAATTCGTTAAGGATGTTAGATATAAAAACCTGGTCCAATCTGATTTCATTTTAAAAAATTATAATTGATTATTAGAAGGAAAAATAGAACAATTTATATAAAAAACAAAAAACTAATATTTTTAAATTATTTTCATTATATATATATTTAATAAATAAATAAATAACATATATGACATTTCGGATAAGATAAGATGATCCAAATTCAATCTACTTAAACCTATTATATTATCCAATCAAAAAATCCAAAAAGGAAATATTCGAATCCAACAAAATATGATCGAATTAGATCATCCGATCTGTGGTAAAATTTTTCTTTAAAGTGTATTCCCTGATATTTTCCTATTTCCCGTTAGAAGAAGTTAAAACAAAATAGACTGTAGAGTACTTTGCTATATATGAGACGATGCTGATCACCTCATTTATGTACAGTCAGACAAAGGTATGCTTGTCTGTCTATGTCTATGGCTGTGCATGAGATGATTGATCTTAGGACACTGCCACACTACCATGCTCCTCAACTCAGAGGCAGCGAACTGGGAAAGGGAAGGTCCCCGTTACTCATATTATTAATTACTCATTCAGTGCTGCCTATGTACCTCCTTTTTATCACCGTCTACAAGTTGCATAGCATTTTTTTTAACTACTACGATAGGAGAGACATCCGAACTGACCATGGTACAAGCATATGATCCGCGCTCCGTTTTGAATCTTTTGATATTATAGATATTTCTTCTACTATGCTAGATTGATCAAACGGTCAACCCCCATTATTAGAAATCAAATAGACCCGTTACTATATCATAAGTAATTAAGTGTTGCTTTCTAGGGTATGGGCCAGTCGACATTATTCTGGAGAATGACTCAATAGGGGGCCCAGCACATGCAGCATCCAAACGGCCAAACCCTCCACCTAATCTTCATACTTTATATTTAAAAGCCCATCACGTCCATGTGTCAATAAGAATTGAGAGGGAATTCCTCCACAACTGGTGAGCGACGCTACCATGCTGCCATGCTCAAGGCCGCAAGCATAGCGTTCTGGCCCATCATTTGGGTTGTAATTGAACCATTAAACGGAGAGTGGAGGCCCACTCCATTCTCGTATTTACACAAAGCACTCAAGGAAAAAAAAATCTATAATGATACACAAGATGTAGAGGACTGAAGACCCACGCAACCTCGATTGAGAAAAAGGCAAAATCCTGGCTCCGGAGAGCGCAGGATTCGCAACAAAAATGGGGCCCACATGCATCTTCAAGATTACATATACAGACAGACGATGGTCAAAAGTTCTATTTAAACCTTGCCTTGAAATACAGGCGTACGCAAGCAAAATAAGATGTGTAGAGACACTATAAATGTGAGGCGTTATTTACTGAGTATATGCCACGCGGTAAAGTGATGAGACCAGATGGCAACTACTAGGCCTCTATCACCACATACTCGAGCCAATCCCCATAGAAAACAAGAAAGTGGCAGCATGCAATGTAATCTCAGTCTCACGGTTATACCATGTGCTTGCGTAATGTCATTTTGCCCAACACCTATCCAGCATATTAACTATTCTGTTCAATTAGAGTTCACATAACATCCCATCTCGGCTCCACGCAACATCATATAACTCATCAATCAGACATCCTTACATGTACCATGTGTGGTCTATCATATGCATCAAATGCATGGGTATATTTTTATACATCTATGAGTGCACAAAGAGTAGTGCAGCACAAAAAAACTGAAAAAGTACAGCAGACGGTTTGCATGAACACCAACTAAACCCATGTTTCAGATTATTATTGCGCCCAGAACCAGAATCCAGATCCGACCCAACCAAACCAAACCCGAATCACGTTGGGATGGTTCAGTGCCAGGCCAAACACCAAAGTATGCATTCAGTGCCAATTTGTGTTTCCTTAAATTTTCCCGTTGCGGTTTTGCCATCTGTTCCCCTGTCTGGACAAGTGGAAATTGTAGATTTCGCTCCTTGGTTTTGCCATCTGCTCCTTGGTGGCAATGGTGGCTGGGTACCTTCTATCTTCCATTACCAACGCCCGGATCAGATCGGATGGACCGGATTAGATCAGATCGACAGTCCGGGTAAGTTGGCAGAACCGTGTGGTGCACTACTACAATTTTACTTATACAGAGGTCGGCAAAAAGGTAAAGAAAATGAGGGCCTGACTGCCTTCCTCATTTTTTTTCTTTTTTCTTCAATACATCAGTGAATTTTCGTCTCTATTCCACAGCTCTGCAGCGGGAGGGGAAAAAAAAAAAGAAAGATAAAAAAACGTGAGACTGGGAAGAGGAACGCAGTTCGAGTTCGAGGGTCCATTTCAAGAAGGTTGAGAAAGTGAGACGAGAATCAATAACGTTGCTCGCTTGTGCGCTTTGAAAATTTTAGGTTTTTATGGTGATGATGATGGGTTATCTGGGCTTTCCTTTCTTCTTCGATTTCTGTTCTTGACTTATTACTTGAATTCGGCTAGCTTTGAAGTTTGAGCTCAAAAAACAAACCGCTGAAGGATAGAGATTTGGGTTTCTGTGACTTATTTTTTTCCGACCAGAAAATGAGTAACTGGTTGGGTTTTTCTCTGACGCCACACCCGAGGATCGGTGAAGGTTTTGGAGGAGACGGGGGGTTCTCCTCTCATTTACCTGTTATGCCATTGCGTTCCGATGGCTCTCTCTGTGTCATGGATCCCTTCAGCCGGTCTCATGGAGGAGGTACTCATACATGAATAACAGTCTTCTTTGTGTCTGTTTCTTTGTTCTACCTTTCTCTTTTTCTCTGCTTTTTGTTTTCTGTAATTCTCAGTCTCTACAAACTTCTTCCTCACCATTTTTCTTCATCCATTGGCATTCTTCATTCATTGACACACGTTTTATAGTTGTAGATCTATGCATCTTATTTATTCGACCATTGTTTTTTTTTTTCATTCAATCCACCTCCCCCCTTTCTTCTCCGGTCTTCGGTGTTTGATGACACGGAGAATTTAGATAACTATTGGTATCAGGAAAGTCTTTGCAGCTTAAGTTATCTAATAAGCTGTCACATTTAATTCTTCTCTGATTCTGCTGCTTCTTAACGATCTGTATAAACGAGCTTCTTCATTATAAGTATCGTAGATATTAGATTTTTTTTTTCTTTCCATGCTACATCTTCCTTCAGATAACTCCAACTAAACTTCTGCTACGGTGGGTCGATTGTAGACTGGAGATATGAGAGCGCAATGGCTACTGCAACTAATTCACAGAGAGAAGGACCAAAGCTTGAAGATTTCTTGGGCGGTTACTCAAACTCCTCTCAGGAGAATAGCAATGTTTACTATCAAAACCAACAAGTTTTCCATCAAAGAGATCAGAATCCTAATAATGGCTGTAGAATAAATGTGAACGTGCCTCCAGCTTTCAACAGTAACGGAGAGAGAGAAATAGAAGAAAATCTTACAGACCAGTCTTCCTTAATCCAATCCTTGCATTATAATGAGAACCCACAAACCATACTCCCAACTGTTCACCTTCAAACCGCTGACCCCAACCCCAGTAACAGTCCATACCATGTTCAACTTGATAGTGCAACGTCAATTGCTGGGTTCAAGTCATGGTTGCGCCAAACTTCGTTTTCAGGTGAGAAATCTTCCACTGAAGCCAACAACCGTAACTTTCAGTCGCTCTCGCTCTCTATGAATCCCAGTTCTCAGACTGGAGTCACCGCTGTATCGCCACCGCCGGCGTCTGACAGCCGGAAACGGCCTGTTGGAAAAGCTGCCACCCGAGAGCCGGTGCCTCGTAAATCAATCGATACATTTGGACAAAGAACATCCCAATACCGTGGCGTTACGAGGTGGGTAATTTTATATATCCTCCTGTCCGGTTTCGATTCTGATGAAGTTTATTATATTATGAGAAATGGGTTCTTCTTCTTCTTCTAATCTTCTTTTATTGAGTAATGTTTTTTTGCCTATTTAATGATAAGGCATCGATGGACCGGAAGATATGAGGCCCATTTGTGGGATAATAGTTGCAGGAAGGAAGGACAAACGAGGAAAGGAAGACAAGGTGAGAGTAACTTAAAATCTATCTGTATTTTCTTCTTTTATGTTCTCTTTTCATAAATGGACGACTTGTTTTGTTTTCCTGAAAGAATACACTAACTGCTATATTTCGGTTTCTGGGGCGATCTTCTTCTGTTTCCGCTTATGCGCTCGACCAGTTTATCTCGGTAAGCAGAGCTTCTGTTTCCATGTTTATTCTTTCATCCATTTTATGTATTGCACTTTTTATTATGTAACCTTTTGTTATATACATACATCTGTGCACCATTGTAAGGAACGTTGGGCTGCGTGCATTGTTTACTTATTGACTTTTTTTCCATTATTTATTTATTTTTATATGAATATTAGGTGGGTATGATAATGAAGAAAAGGCAGCTCGAGCTTATGACTTAGCGGCATTGAAGTACTGGGGTCCTACTACCCATATTAATTTTCCGGTAAAGGCTTACGTGATTGAATTTTTCTTCCTATCAAGACTTCTGTCTGGATTCTCGATCGACTCTTGAATATGTAACTAGTTGACACTACTGATTTATTTAATATTCTATCCCTCTTTTTGGAACTCAGCTAAGCAGTTACGAGAAAGAGCTCGAAGAGATGAAAAACATGACCAGACAGGAATTTGTAGCCCACTTAAGAAGGTCTCTCCCTCCCAACAATGGAACTTAATTTAAACTATTGAAAACCCATCTGGGTTTTGCTCTACACAAACAAATTTCCAATTTCTGAAGAATCGATTGGGAGTCATGATGGGATAATGCCTAAACTTTTTCATTTCAATTATTTGTTCTTGTTGTATTTTCAGGAAGAGCAGTGGCTTCTCAAGAGGAGCGTCTGTATACAGAGGAGTGACGAGGTTGTGGCAGAACAACTTTATTGCTGAACTCTTTTTATTTATTTACTGATTTGCAGCTTTTGATCTTACCATCTACAATAATATACAAACTTTATGTGCCCATACATTATTAATGTCCCTAACTACGCATATATCTCAACATTAATATATACAATATTTTATTGTTAAATTTATTCAGAAGCATTTAAAATTAGATTTAAGGGCGCCACCCATCAAAGCACCTAGCTACTTCCCGTTCATAGTTCTTAACTTCTTTTTATCTCGGTTTGTTCACTCCTGAGCTCTGCTGACAGGCACCATCAACATGGAAGGTGGCAAGCTCGGATAGGAAGGGTTGCAGGGAACAAGGACTTGTACCTCGGAACGTTCAGTGAGTCTCTACTCATTCTGTTTGACTCTTTCTTAATATGTATCTCAATCCTCAAATAGTGCTTTATGGGGAATTTAATTATAACACGCTCAATTCTTTTGTATGTGTACTAATAAAGTGAGCTTGAATTTGAGGCTGTCAACCTCAGTTACACTGTTCATCTTCACATCCTAAAGCACTGAAATGTTGGGTGTGTGTGATGTTAAATTGTTAGTGTGTTAGATATGGTTGCATGGATGGCCTTAGAATGATGAGATTTTATAATTTTCTCATATATTCATCGAGAGCGCTAGTGGTTTTATGTCTTTACACCCGATGAGTTTTTGGCTTCAAAATCTAGAATGTTTTAAGAAAACATGGAGCCTCAGCGACTGGTTCTGTTTTGATAGCATCTGTTTGGATTAAGATAAAGAGGTTAGAAATGTGCCAGTTTCGTCCTTGTTGACAGGATCATTCTGAGTTGCTTTCTGTTTTTTGGGTAACTAGTTTTTGAGTTGGTTCATTTTGAGTTGCTTTCTGATGTTGCGGATTTTATATTGTGATGATCTGCAAAGGCACCCAAGAAGAAGCAGCCGAAGCGTATGATATTGCAGCAATCAAGTTCCGGGGGACAAGTGCAGTCACCAACTTCGACATTAGCAAGTATGACGTAAAGCGGATTTGCTCCAGCACCACCCTCATCACTGGTGATCTTGCAAAGCGCTCACCTAAGGACTCTACTCCGCCGGTCCCCGATGAAAACAATTCCGGTGCATCTTCATCTCCTCATCAACCACCTCCTGCGATTACCAATGGTGAACCTTCTGATGAATTCGGCGACATGGTTTGGACAAACACTAATACCGACGAACAACACCATCATCAGCAGAATGTGAACGCAAATGATAGCGTCTCCTTGGTATCGTCAATGAGCAATCCAAATTCCTCTAATCCACAAAGCCCAAAAGAAATTGTTACGTCGCGTAACGACTATGGTGGGGCCGGAGGAGATTTCTCTCAGTCTCAGACGACATTCTTCTCTCTGAACAATTCCAAGTATGAGAACGGCACTAATTGTAGCGAGCAGAGTACGAGCAATGGCGGAGGTGACAACGTGAACTGGGTGGTGGCAGGGAGGCCGGCGAATCTCTCGATGGTTCATCAGCTTCCAATGTTTGCATTGTGGAATGAATAAACCCAAGAACCCGGATCAGGAGTGGTGGACGAAAATTAATGAAAGGCTTCAACGGTAGACTATATAGCGATATGAATATTCATTCATTTATGTACAAACAAAAGGAAGAAAAGAATTGTGAACTAGGATGCCTGTTTCGAGTAGTGACACAGAATTTTGAATGTTCCCTGTGTTCATTAACTTCTTCCGTCGAACCGTTTTTAGAATCGGTTTCCGGTGACACCTGAAAAATGAACAGAAAGAATTGAAAAAAAAAAGCAGCAGAAAATGTTACTGTGATCAATTTTTTTATAGATATTAATTAAGTATGATATATTGTGTCCAGATCGAATATTTTCAATTTTCTGTGATTGAAGTATGGAGATTACTTTGTACCAGACAAAAGACGTATACGTAGTACGTAGTTTAGATGTTATCAGTATATATCCTGATTCCTGAATTCCTGATAAGGATGTTCGTGTCGGTGTTGCTTGCCAAAAAAGAATTCCTGATGAGGCTGAATTTGACCAGACGATAATTTGGCGTTTTCTGTCAGGCTAATGATTTCTTCAGGCCGTCAAAATGGAATACTGATTTGATGAAGATGATGGAATGGTTGATATTTCAGATGCTATATAATCCGGGACCGGGGAGTACAGTTCCGCTTCCCCATGCATGCGACAATTTCAAGCGTGCTTTGCTAAAGTGCGTTTGCCATGCAATCCATGACTGCCGTCTCGTCGTTTTGCTTATTCTTTGCCGTCCACGCGACGCCTACGTAGAAGAGGTCAAAGAACTTCTCAACTTGTATATCTTTGACTCAGTCTTACTTCATTCCTCCACTTCCACAGTTCCAACCTCCAAGAGAGAGAGAGAGGGTTAGCTCAACTCAACACGCTCGGTCCCCACTCGGTCCTTCCTCTCGTTCTCTGCCCTTTATCTTCTTTTTTTTTTTTTTTCTTTTTGTTCTTTGTTGGTTAGTGGAGGAAAGGGAGGGGGTTAGAGGGAAGTTAATAATGGTGCATAGCATCGAATACCAAAAAAAACTGTGTGCCCTGTTTTAACTCTGTTTGCTGATGCCGTGATGCATCTCGTGTTCTTTTTTTTTTTCTTTTCTTTCTTTTGGCTTAAAAGAAAATAAGGAATCATCTTCTGAGTTCTGATGAATATCGCCTGTGGAATGAAGGTACGGATTGGTGGGATGGGTTTTAAAGAGGAGCAGAGTCTTAACTCATAATGCAGTCGTCTAGAGTCTATACCCAAACAACAATCTATAGGACAAGATACTTGGTGCAGAGACATTTCTCCATCAAACCCAGTGTGCTTGGCAGAGCAACGTAGCCTCTCTCCTGTCAGACTTCCCTCAGTATCTCTCCCCGCGTTCCACCTCCTCCCAGTCCCAGCAGCTACTGTACCGCACTATGCATCCTTGGTTGATTAGGGTCTTAGCTAGAGCTTTAGGTATATAAGTGATGCTTACATCTCTGCCACATCTACATGAACATGCCATGCATGCGCCACTGCTCCTTTCCTTGTTAGTCGGGCCCATTGAGCCCTGCTGGTTGTTTTAGCTGGATCCGTGCATGTCTGCCACGTACTTAACATGGTCTATTGATGCCTCGTCTCCTCAGACCGTCTATGAGACGTGGCCCCAGTAGTCCATATGATGTGCCCACTCGGTCTGATATGATATTTCGTGAGTGTGCATGTGGACCAGGGTCTACAGCTAGAATCCTATCCTACTCTCCCAAGCCTAAAATTTTGACTTTTGCTTCATGTAATAACGGCGTAACTCCAAAGTGTGGAATTCGTTGGCCTTGTCTCGATTGTATGTGGATCAGAGTTGAGAGGTACGTTACTCCGTTTTGGGCCTTTTGGAGGGTGGAGTTGTTTTATCTTAGAGAATCGAAAATTAACAAGAAATTCAAGTGGAGTCTAGATAGTCAACTGATCATGTGGCTGCCATGTATTGCTCTCACTTGGAACTAGCAGGACAGAGAGAACAGAGGTACTAATTATGGGGCCGATCACCGATGTCCAGAGTCCAAAGCCGCTTAAAGGTGCACCAGATGTCCTCACTGGTGTCTTCATTTCATGTATGAATTAAGCAGGAAGCGGGCACCACTTTCGAGAAAGCATCTTACATATATATACCTTCTTCTTAAAGTCTTTATTATTGCTACATTACTTACGTATTGTATTTATCACAGTCACAAACCAATGAAGCTCACAAGGGAGTGGGGGACAAAGCTATACCTTCAGACCCATCCCTCCATTTATTCCACCCCCCTGTCTCTGCAATTCCAACACCATACCATCATGCACTCTCTCTCTCTCTCGGGTGAACAGGCTTAGAAGGGAAGACAAACCTCATACCATATTGTCCATATCCATTACTAGTTGGAAGTAGACGTTTTATTTATATGTTTGTTTGTTCTAAGTTTGACATGGAGTCACAGTATTTTAGTAGAGCTTATTCTCCTTGAATTCTTTAACATAACATCACTTTCATTGTTTTTATGATTTTTTCTTTACGGGGGGCTTTGAATGACATCATTGATAGGACAGGGAAGGCCTCTCCCGTCCCGCCCAGCAAAGCATAAAGAACGACATTATGCTTGTGTATGTATGTTCTGAAAACATAACTTTACATTTTTAGAGGCCCTGTAAAAGAACTGGCCACGCCAACTTTGAGGTTTGCTTCCGGCTAAACATGCTTCTTGTTAGTTCTCACTACATTTTGTGACCGCCCAACCCCATCCACGTCACTTCCTTGTTGTCATCTTGTCATTTTAATGGAAGCAAATTCAATTGACTAATATTCTATTTTTCCCTCCCAAGAATACAAAATTGAAAGTTATATCCCTAAAACTGAATTTGGAAGGAGTACAAATACAAATATATAAAATTCAAAACCTTATGTTTTTTATTATTTTATATGTATTTATATTATACATATTTGTATTTGCACTCCTTCCAAACTGAGCCTAACATTCTATACCACCCAAAATGCTTCTAAAAAGCCCATAAGAGCCTCAAGGGGTGGTATTGGGGTATGACTTTTATGGCCATATCTCATTTGTTAGGGATGTTTGGCACCTTGTTTTTTGACAACTTAAGTTAACAAGTAACAACCAATTCCAAGTGCGGATGGCGCCAAGGACATCATTTTCTATAAAAAAAAAATCACCAAAAAAAAAGATAAACATCACATTTGAATTAATAAGACCTTTGAAATGGGATATGAAAATAATCTTTTTTACAAGGTTAAAATTTTGTAACGTATTGGTCGTGCCGGTTTCGGATCCATATCGATCCATACAGGCCCAAAACAGTCCAATACACTTAATTCATTTTAGGAGTTCTTTTTTATCATTAATTTTTCGTTAATCTGCATTTAATGCCCAATTCCCTCTCATTAATGTCATTAATTACTTTTGTATTTAAGTCTACTTTTTTTCTCCCTATCATTAATTAGTTAATTACTCAATTTGAATTTGAATTCTAGCGCCTAACTCAAACCTTCTCTCATTAATTAATGATTCTTTCTCTCATTAACTAGTTGTTACTCATTAATTACATTAGCCATTAATTTTAGATCTTTTAATTGTAAGCAATAAAACTACAAGTATTCGTGATAAGAAGATTCAAACCTTAGTCATTAGATTCTAATGAGTAATGACCACATGTTCACCACTACGCCACACTAATTTGTTTGTTATGGTTATATAAATTTTTATTTTTTTTCTTAATGTATGCTCCATGTTTACTGATAAATACTATAATTAATTATTAATTATAAATTAATAAGTATTAAAAAATATACTGATTATTTGAAAATTAATGTATAGTTTTTCCATTATTTTCAATGGTTATTAATTGTGTCCCAATATCTCATATTTTACATAAACCATTAAATTATGTTTGTTTACATTTAAATAACTTATTTACAATCATATAAAATTTATAATTATTGTTATTAATATATTTTTTAGGATCTATTTGATTTTTCTATTATATTGATACGTATTTTGATTTTTCGTCCATATCTATACATATCTAAAGCTTATTCTGATATATCTCTTAAAATTAACTTTTCAACACTCCTTACGTTTCCGATACTTTAAGCTTACTTCTTTGAGCAACAACAAACTTTCAAAGAAATTGAGGAATAATCTAGAGCTAAGCACCTCCACCCTTCCTCTATAAATCTATACGTTCATTGGCAAGATGATTAATCAATGGATTTGTTAATATATTGAATTTAAAAGATCATAATACTTCATGGTACTAAGTAACTTTCATACTGTTTATTACCATATAATAAATTAATAACATTTCAATTTTATATGGATGTTAATGTCTATACTTGCAATATTAGTGAACCATGTCGTATCGAATTAGATTGTGCTCGGCTTATATTCAAGTATTCAACCACATAATTAAGCCGATTGGATTCTGTTTAATTACCTTGATAATTGGATTGGATTGGAATTCCCATTTGAATAAGCGTATATCATAAATTTTCAAAGTATATTTTTGTCTGTATCAAAATAATATTAAAGCTTATCAATATGATATTGAATACTATACTTTGATTCTTGCTTTTAAATAAGTTTTTTTCCCATTATGGCGATTTCTTGTATGGAGATAGAACATAATTCGATCATTATGGGGTTTCTAGTGGTTTTTGCTTACTAAGTAGGTCCTGGATCACTAATAAGCCAAAACACATCCTTTTTCTTAAAAAGACAAAGGTTAAGGTGGTGTTTGATTGCATATTTCAAAGGTCTGAATTTGAAAATGCTGCTTTTCAAATCCTCACACTTGTTTGGTTTTACCTCTTAAACTTGATCTGAATGTTGTTTTCAGATCTGAAAGCCTTTGACCTTGGGCCAGCTCCAGTGCATAGTCAAAGCTACCCTTCCAATATTTTGTAAATGACGCGCACTACCCCTCATTAACCCCAAACCAAAAAACCCTAGTCATTTTCGTGTTTTCTTAAGGAGGAAGCACAGCTCCAAGAAGAACGCCGCTCTCTCTCGCTCTCGTTCCCTCTCTCTCACCCCCTGTCTTCCCACTTCCCTCCACCGCTGCTACAACTTGCAACAACAGTTCTCTCTCTCTCTGTGTGTGTGTGTGTGTGTGTGTGTGTGTGTGTGTGTGTGTGTGTGTGTGTCTTCCTGTTGCAATTGCCGCGACAACTCTGGTTTGTATTCGAATCAATGAGACGATGAACAATAGATTAGGGTAAATGAAGAAGATAGGTTAGGTTGTATTGATTTTATTAAATTTTAATCATATTAATATTTTTTATTGTGTTATTTATAAT